TTTGCTATTACTATAACTTGCCCTACGGGAAGTTAATATATAGAGTAGATTTTTAACTGCTATATTTGAAAGTAGGGGGGAAAAGTTATATAAGCAATCATCACCTTGATTTTTACAACATTGCTATTGGGAAAAACGGCAATGTTTGAAAATCCACAACAAAAGTTTCTTTCGTTGATAGTTCTTAAGGTCGTGAGCATTGATTGATTCATCATTGTTTTATGAGAAGTATTGTTAATTTTAGCTTAAATTTAACAGTTTTTTTTATATAAAATCTTAAACCTGGGTGGGGTAAACGTGATCAACTTACATTCACCATGGCAAAGGTGTATAAAATAGCAAATAATAATAAACAAGTAAATTAAGTTGAAAACAGCACCTTTACAAAAGATAAATTAGATAAATAATTATTCCAACTCTATAATTAGTTTTGAAACAAAAACCAAAAATTAAAAATTGCGCTTTAATGCATAAAAATTTTTGCCATAAAAGTTATGCAATGGTTTTTCTCGATTATGAAACACTGGAAACGTTACCTTTTCAAATATCGATCTTTTTAATAAAACTTGCAAATTGAATCATTTATCATTTGAAGTAAATGTATAGCATTTTTTTCCTTGAGACAAGAGACAAGATGAGTTCGTTTAACTTTGCAAAAATATCTGACAAATAATACAGCTTGGATAGCCATTAGTCATTCTAGAGAAAAACTACAAGTCCACTGTATTGCGCGGACTATAGTGATATTATAAAATGATATATGTATACATCAATATTTGATTAAAATCTTTCGCGAACACCATTTTGAACCATTATTTTTGTTAGTTGCTTTTTCAATTTCCCGAACGAGAAGTATATGTTTTCATGAAAAAGTCCGATTCGCTAATGTTATGTTTTCTCGGCATTTCAAGCCATTCTAAATCGAATGAGACCAAATTTGAAAAAAGTATATGTGTGTGTGTGTGAACAGATTTTTTGCCGTAAATCGACGTTTTCTCAAAAACGACTAGACAGATTTTAAAAATTTAAAAGCCATTCGATGTATCTAGATGAGGACTAGCGTTTATTAATTTTGCGCGACGATCAGCCAAGCCGTTTCTTTGTAAATAGCAGAAAAGTGAAAAAAATTCGTCCACGTTTTAGCACGCAATTCTGAATCGATTTTTAAAATTCAAAAACTCTCCGAAAGGTATTAGATGGGAATGATACTGGTTAGTTTTAGGTAAAAATCTATCGAGCCGTTTTCTTGTAATTAACTGTTGAAAAAAAAATTTATAGAACGATTTTTATGGAACTTTTTTGACGATATATCATAGTCTTATAGAACTTACTGAAATATTAATGCCTTACGACAGAACTGTTCGAACTAAATGACAATCTATAATATATACATATTTGTAGCTATAGATTCTTTGGTATTTATCTTGTCTACGGAATATGTTGAATTGTATAACCTGAGTATTAAAGATTAGTAGAAGATTTGACCTGTTTGACAGGTGAAAACTATATGTGAGCAATTTTTTTTATATTTTGTCGGCGTACACACAAAAACGGATAGACCAATTACAAATAATTGTAAGCTGTTCGATGTAATTCGGTAAGCACTCCTATTTATTGCGACAATTTTCTGATTTTAAGCGATAATCAAATTCAAGACGTTTGAAAAACCGTTTTAATGTATCATTTTAAAAACTAAATGAAACGTATTCATATAAATAGCAAATATGGAGTAAATCTCAAAACAGAAAACATTACTAAAGGAGTACCTCAGAATAAGTTAAACAATGGTCTATAGTCTATAATAACATACAAAAATATTCAGTTTTGCCGAGAAGTTCGGTTCGAAATTATAAAAAATCATATTAGAACAATAAAGAATGCCTGAACTTAAGGACTTAATGACGCCATAGAGATCGACGAATCCGAAGTGGCAGAAACTATAAAGAAACTAAAACTAAGAAAAAAGAGTGCGCGTAAGGTTCACACGCGATTGAAGTAAAACTTATTTGCTACTGTACAAGATGGCATTTAAGTAAAAATAAATACTTCATATAACAATTTTAAATAATGTTTATTAGTAATATGGTTACACTCGTGATGCACACATTTATTAGTGTTAACCATTATACATATTTATATCATAATAAATTATAAATTATATATTTATAATATCGTTAAAAATATTTAAAATATTTAAAAACAATAATGTAATTAAAGTCATATTTCTAATATGACATGATCGGTTTTTCATTGTAATTAGTATTTAGAAATAAACCATCATTAGAGAAATGAAGTAATTGCTGATTAATAAATTCTATAATATTCGTTCACACAGTGGATTATGTTAAACAACGCCTAAACAAATATTGTTTTTGCAACTTTACTCATCAATTAGTAATTGTGTTCATGTAATTAACATTAACATACATTTATTGACTACTTGTATTTTTTTACTTTTTCGCTGGCGATGTAATCTCATTCTTTGAACAGCTGTAATATCAGTTTCGCCTAAAAAATATTTTTTATTTTATTAACTTCAAATATTTATGGAAACTACGAATAATATAGAAATAATTTTTAATTTGTTTCATTATTTTAAAGGAACAAAGTAAAATATTCTTCTGATTCAGACTTTTTTCATTAAATCAAGATTTGTACTACGATGTAACTTTAAAATGTTTATTTATCAATGCCGATTTTCTTGTCGATATCGGTAGGCATACAACGTTGACGCCAGTATGCATACAACGATAGATCTCTATTCACATACACGACGACTAATTACAATCGACCCGTATAGAAATGATATCATCGAGAGACGAATCATTGGCACCGTAATCTTATCTGCTGTAACGCACTTCCGTTGCATTTGTACGGATTTATAACCTAGTCGCGCCTAAAGAAGTTTTACGTCAAAAAAAACGACGAATTTTTGGAAGAGGCCTTTACCCAATACGGGGTTCTTGCCGACTAACTCTATACATCGTGTACTGTGCTTATATTTCATAATACAACATGTTCTGTTTAAACATGTTTATGTTAATTAGTTATCTATATAAAGAAATTGTAAAAAGGCAAGAAATATATCTCTAAGAAATATCGACTCTATATTTTTATCAGTTAATGTATACACATTATTAACTTAGAATAAACTATAATAAAGTTAACCAACAGTAGGGCGATTGACAAAGTTCATTTACACTATTGTATTTTATTAGAGTTTTAATATAACAGAAGCATGTAGATATTTATTAACCTACGGGAAGTTGGCAAGTATTATACAAAAGTTATCTTAAATTAATATATTTATATATTTTATATATCTATATATCTATCTATATATATATATATATATATCAATTGAAAATTGCATCGGTTATTTTTTAGCGAATGCGAATTTAATTTTCTCGGTAATCAATAAATGACTAATTAACGTCCAGGCGCTATAGGACATCGAGTGTGCATAATATGACCGCCAACTGTTTTCTGATTTTTATACCTGATATATCGAATAAAGAAAAAAATTCAAGCCGCCAGCGTTTTTCCTGGTTTCATTTTTCTGTATCTGCCTTTTTCTTGAGCCAAGTTTTTATACGTCGTAGAACTCGTCGTAGCCAATATATATAAATTTATTTCAACAGGTGATAAATGTTAGCAAAAAACAAAGTGAAATATCGTAATTTTGCAAAAAAACTTATGATTTGGTTGAAAATAAATAGCAATGATCAGTAAAATAATATAAACATTTTTAATATATGCAATATTTATTCTCACTCATTTTATATTTTTTGATATAATCCTTTTTAATATTATCTAACAAATGTGGGTTCAGTTTTTCGATCACAAGTTCGAGCTCAATTATTATATCACATTAAATAAATTTATAATTTATAAAATATCCATACTACTTTACCGGTTTGTTCTAGAAATAATTAAATGAAAAACAAATGTCTAATATCTCCATGATATAAATTTCATGAATAAAATACATTTTAAAGTAAATTAAACGCAACACTAATTGCATATAAAGTATTGCAGTTTATTGCGCAGACTTTACTGCAACCGTTAATAAAATCTTTGAACTTATTATGAAATTGTATTGTGCAAAATTAAATTGCAGAAAAGTGAACATTTTTATGGATTTTCTCATATAAATTTGAACTATTGGTGTATGGCATCGTGCCTTAAGGCAAATTTCCGAAATTTAAATATTTTCTGGAATATTAAATGTTTTCAAATAGCTAATTATAAATACTATAACATAGTTTAATATTTATAAGAGTTATATAAACTGAATTACAAACTTAAAATTATTTATTTGAAGTATATAAGTGAATTTTACAACTTTAGCCAGAATTCAAATCTAAATTATTTTCGGTATACAAAAAAAATGGAAAAAATTGTTTTTACGAAAGCAATTTTATTTTATTAAAACAAGCAGAAATTTCTTTGGATTATTCAAATCGAACGCATAGTTCTCTCAAAAATTGCCATTTTTTGCACATTTAGCTCTGAATCTCCGAAACCGCTGGACCTACCTTTGCCAAAAACTACTCACCACTGCCCCCATTATTACGAATTGAAAGCTTTTAGATCATTAGATTTTTATTTTCTGCATTTTTTGCTCCGTATCTCCGAAATGGCAGGACCTGCCATTGCCAAACTAATCAGCACATCTCCCTATCAATAAGAATCTAATGTTTTATGAACCATTCAAATCGGTTGATCCGTGCGCCCGAAAACGTGGACAAAAAATTGTATCCATACATGCATACACACACATACACATCCATTTTTTCTAAAGTATGCCAAAATGTTCAGAAACCTTCAAAACGTGAAGAAAAGTAAAAAAAAATAATTTCGATTTTTGGACGATTACAATAATTTACCCTACGGGAAGTTAATAATTAAAATAAAAAGCCTTGAAATTTTGTGTTGAATTTATTGATCAAAAATATTTTTACTTAGTGTTTCAATTTTGAATGTTTATTTTTTTTTAGGCTGCCGAAAGTGGAAATCTTGAAGATTTTTCTCGGCTCCACTTATCTGAGCCTGGTCGTCTGGGGGTCAGAGATGGCAGAGGTCGCGCAGCCGTTCATCAGGCTGCTGCCCGAAATCGCGTCAATATTCTTCAATACATCTACGCACATGATGGGGGTAATTATACTAATTTTTGTTTGTTATTTTTCCTGATTATATAGTTTTAAAACTTTTGCTTTGGAAAATTCGTATCAAACTCTTAAGAAAACTATTGGGAACTAAATTGCTGGAACTTTCCGTACAGTAACGAAGTGATCGAGGAATATTAAATGTTTGAAAATAGATTATTATAAATATTGTAACATTGTCGAATATTTATAAGAGATATATAAACTAAATGGAAAGGTTGAAATTATTTGTTTAAAGTATATTAGAACAGAATTACAATAAAAATCTTTTGAATTTTTAAAGCAAAAATTTTTTTTCCAAAATCAATTATTTTGTTAAAACAAGCAGAAAGTTTTGAAATCATTCAAATCGGACGCTAAGTTCTCTCAAAAACTGCCATTTTTTGCACATTTAGCTCTGTATCTCCGAAACCCCTGGACCTGCCTTTTCCGAAAACTAATCACCCCTTCTTCCCGTCATTACAAATTGAATGTTTTTGGGATCATTCAAATCGGATGCTCCGATCTCTCAAAAACTTGATTTCTATTTTCTACACTTTTTGCTTCGTATCTCCGTAACAGCTGGACCTGCCTTTGCCAAAAACTAATCAGCACATCTCCCTATCAATAGGAATCCAATGTTTTTTGAACCATTCAAATCGGTTGATCCGTGCGCCCGAAAACGTGGGCGAAATATTGTATCCATACATACATACACACATCCTTTTTTGTGAGGTATGCCAAAATGTTCAGAAACCTTCAAAACGTCGAGAAATGTAAAAATTTTCAATTTCGATTTTCGGCTCATTACAATAACTTACCCTACGGGAAATTAATAATGTATAACTAGAATCCTAGTGTATCAATTGATTTTTATATATGACATACATATATTTCGAAAAATTTACTGTACACAAAATTCTCTTGGCCATCATTCATACTAATAAAATAGTTTATTATTTATAAAAAACTAAATGTTCTGGCAAACGTCGTTTAGTACTATGAATTATTTCTGACACTGCGAGTTTAGAAAAAATACACATTGAATTTTTACTTACTTTTGCTAGTTTTACTTAAGTCGAGGAACTATGGGACCCAGTGAACGATGCGTTATCTTCTATATATATAAAAATAAGTCGGGTTTCTCTTCCTGACGAAATAACTCCAGAACGTACGAACCGATTTCGACAATTTTGCATTCTTTGGAGTGTGATTAAAAATTCGAGTAACGACATTAGTGAGAATTATCAGAATTATGCCTGCTTAAGTCAACGAACAATTCTTGCCGCAAAGTATAATGATGTACACGCACTGAATTTCAACATTCAATCAAAAATTTCTGGCGATTTGGTTTGATTTTCAAACGATTGCAATTTCCAGTTCGCCTTGCGTTCTCAATAACAAGTCGCAAGGCTAATCGCTTAGTGTTTGCGGGATAAATTTCAAATAGATTATTTAGAAAATCATTGTTTTTTACATGGGCAGTTATACGTTGCCTGTTCACGAGTTGAAAAACCATCCGCTTTGTTTGTGTTAACGTCAGACCAAAAAAACAAAAAAATGTGGTTTACCAAAGATCACTTCCATAAAACATAAAAATTTCGGATTCACTTTCATTTACTTAGAGAAGTTCAACTAAAAAACACTTCATTTTTGTAATCAAAATAAATTCATTACTGTTGTGCAATAAAATCAAATTTTTCCTTTTCAAATATAAAACAAACAAAAAATTTCTTCATCTTTCTCACGAAACCATCTGGTGGCGAAACGGAGTTTGTTGGGTTTGCTAGTTTACATATATAAATAAAACATTAGAACTGTTTCTTTCCAGGCTGTTTCTTTTTACCTAGCTTATGAGGTAAAAAGAAACAAAAACAGTAGAGAAATATTTTTCAGTATTTAGGAATTAACTGGAAATTTTACTGAAAATAGCTCGATCTTTGTTGGTTTGATACGCGTTATGTGTTTTGATACAGTTTATTCGACTTAGACAGTCTAGTTACTGAAGTTTAAATTATACCTTTGTGTTCTGCCCTACCTTATATATAACACTAGCATACTCAGCCATGCTTTGCTGAAGCTTTCATTAAAATCCATTATATTGAAATTTGTATCTGATAGACAATCAGCAGTTCAATACTATTGATTAAAATTTCCTTAAAATTTATATTAAATCAAGAAATAAAAATAATAAACTAGTGGTGTATGGCAAGGTGCCTTAAGGCAAATTGTTTGAACTTTCCGTACAAAAAATTATTTTTTTTTAAAACTTTATTTTTTTAACATTGACAAAATTTGATTTTCTGACAAATATTAAATTTTTGGAAAAAATGACCTTTTTGAATAAAAAACTTTTTGAAAACTATTCTTTATTTTGAAATATCTAGGACATTTTGACTTTTTTTAAAGCAATCGCACTGCATAGAGTTTTAGCTGCATAGAGATGAAATATCAAAGCGCGTAAGCGCCGCGTCGTCGTCTAACGGACAAACGATGTAACGGAACCCATATAAAGAAATCTGAAAATGATTTAGTTGATCATATTTAGCATAATCTAACTATTAAACAATTCAAGTAGTAACAAAAACAAATATAATGTTATAAACAAATATAATGTAAATGTTATAAATATTACTATAAAAATTCCAATTTTTGATGAAGAATGTATAAACATTGGTTTCATAGATTTGTTGACAAGAATATTAACTTATCGGATGTGCAAAAACTTACTAATTGAATTGATTGCTAGAGCTTGCAGAAATATTGCAGCAGAAATAAATTCTCTTAAAGCTTACATGTTGAAGTTTAATACCTTTCGATAACAAAAGTAAATGCAAACTACGTTAAAATTTTTCATTTAAAAAAAATGTTTTGCTTTCTGATTGTGCTCGTTGGGGGCCCCCTTGGCTCGGGGGCCCGGTATTTTTGATAAGGCTGATACGGTGGTAGTTACGCCCCTGTTAATCAGCCAAAACTCTGCAACGGCACTCGAATTGATGTTAAGAAATTAACGATAAACGTAGTGGAAGTAATGATTTTAACGGGACCTCTGAAAGGTGAAGGTTTGTTTATTTCTAGAATGTCCATAATATCTCGGCTCGACATTAATTTACAATCAATATAATTCATAGTAAATTTTTAGATTTGTGTGATTTAGATTTACATAACGATTGCTTTTCGTACGGACCACTATATATGTTGCCTGTCTCCGAGCAAATTGTCAATATTCAAAATAAATGCAAATATTCAAAAAATGTTAAAATAAAAATGAATCAAAATTGAAATTCGAATAAAATTAGATATTAAAAAAAAATGGTATAGAAAATTTTTTGATTTTTTTTTGTCTTCCCCAAAAACGAATCATTTATTTGCACTGTTAACACAAGTAGATTTGTAAATTTTTCGTAGGGTTAATTACAGAATTTTTTCAATTTTCGTTTTGCATCTACGAAACGACTAGAACTCTTTCTACAAAAACCAATCAGCAGGTCTAGTCCTGTCGATATAAGCCGATTATTTTTTGAATCATTCTAATCCGATGCCCGGTTTTCTCAAAAACTTAATTTCATTTTTCTACACTTTTTGCTCCGTATTTCCGAAACGGCTAAGCCTGCTTTTGACTAAAACTAATCTAATATTTATTCTAAGTTATGCCAAAATATTCAGAAACCTATAAAATATAATTTGCAAAAAAAATCATTACGGATTTTTGGACGATAACTATAACTTACCTTATGGGAAGTTAATAATTGAGAAGAATGTTTTTATTAAAACAGAATACGTTAAGTCTTAGTTTTAAACCGTTTCTCAGTGCATACAAATAATTTTTTAAACAGTTGAATAATCCGCATTAAACACTAATTAATATACATTCCAAATTTTTTTAAGTAAAGAAGTTAATAATTAGAATAGCTTGATATTTTTTTAAATAAGAATTCCTAATTTAGGAACGGCTTTTTTTCAATGATTCTTCTCTATATCATGTAACAATCTTGTTCTATCCTGAAACTTTACACTATGTATTTATCATTTTTTCTGAAATCTTCTAATACCAATGTCAATGGTAGTTCACTAATAAGAAAAATACCACAACTCGTTCATCGATATCTTGTCAATCTCTATCTTTCCGGCTTATTTATTATCCGTGGCAGATGATATGTTACAATATTTTCCACTTTCTTTCTATTTATTGCTTTTTCATAATCTATTTTTATATACTAATATTAATTCATTTTATACTATTGTCTTATAAACTAATTAGAATAATATGACAAATTATTTGAAAGTAAACTCAGGTATTTTCTACACATAATCATATGCTGAGAGTACAGTCACGGTTAAATTATTTTGTAACTAATTTTTCAGCAAATTATTAATTGTACTTTTCATTGCATTGTTATAATACAAACACTGTGCCATGATAAAATAATTAATGTCCTCTATCAATTTTTATTTAAAATAGTTATAATTGCAGTCATGATTAAACAATTTTCAAAGATACGCTAAACATTTTGTTTAATTATTTTACATTCAAGTACAAAGTTACTCACAAACTAAGAAACTAGATAATTTGTTTCAGTTCTTTTTTTAGCAAAACGATCCTTCAAACCATACAAATTATATAAACATTTTTAAATCGTTTCCAAGAATTTTCATACTTGAACTAATTATTATCGAGTTTGAATGATCAAAAGATTGTCAGGGTGAATGTATCAGATTACTCGTTAAACAGATTGAAAGTTAAAAGAAAGTTTTATTAATGACCATGAACAAGATTTGCTGCTTTTTTACGCAGTAATATTTGTTAGTTCCGCAGCAAAAATATATTGAAAGAAAGACTTTTCTAAAAAAAATCATGGCTTTTAACCTCATGTCATTTAGCCCTTTGTTACAGCTTACAGGGGTATGGAAATAGGTATGGAAAGTTCTAAAATATCTATTTTTTTGTAAATTTCCTAATCATAATTTGATAAACCATATTCTGAGAGATACTTTTGGTTTGCAAAATTTAAATAGGGTTTCTTTTCTGGCTTCCATGTCTCATTCGTTTTGCCATAATCTTTTTAGGTTAGGCGCGGGTATCTTTTTTGTAAGAAAATCCGATAAAAAGTGTTTCTTTAGCAAATTTAATCACATATTCATTTCTTCGAAATTTGAATTATCTTTTATCCAAGCTAATCCTATGATATTTGTGTTTTCTAAAATATTTTTATATTTTGTGAAAAATGTCTTAGAATAAAGAATTCTTTTCTTTAAGATTGCTTAAAGCCAGCAGAGCGGATTTAGTATCTATTAGGATTACAGTTTTCAAGATCGTTTATTGTGTAACAAAATCTAAAGCGGCTTAATACCTGTAACTTCTGCTGAAAGAAAAAAACATAGACAAAATTTAGTATGCATATCAAATGGTGTAAACGATAATGAAATATTTCCATTTTGGTTTGTTGCCTATTGTCAAATTACGAGTTTACAATAGTTTTGTTAGAATTATGTTTCATGGATGATATACATGAAATTATTGCCCACGATTAAAATACTAACACAATGTCATATAAATATTGAAATACATTTTATCTTAATCGGCATAATATATAATATATAGGTTAAAAAAGGAAAATCATCAACAATTCTCCGAAAAACACTACATTTTAAAGATTCGAAAAATTATTAGATATTATCATAATTCTCTTAAGTAGAATAATTTTAAAACACTGTGTTTGTACATAATAAAATATTATGTTCAAATCGCTGCTAAAGATCGATTAGGATATAGTTTGGCATGGCGTGTTTACCATACCAAACTATTTCTGAAATATATTGGCCAAGTGTTTGTATGTTACTTTAGGGTGATCCTTATTTTTGAGGTAAGAGTTCTCAGTGAGCTTCTTTATTTGATCGAGTACTGTCGGTACGTCAGTCTGTTTTTGTATATATTTGTAGAATAACAGTGTTTCGTCAGTAGGCTCCAAAGTTTCGTCTTTGTTGTTGCGTTTTATGCTTAAACGGCGTACAACAGTATCGGTCGTATGAATGTCAAGTAAAGTGTCCGCTTGTTCTTCACGCTTAGTGGTCTGTTATGGTTCAATAGAGGTCTCAGCACATTTGCCATCTCAAACGTCTGTCCAATTTTGATGTTGACATGTTTGGTAAAGCTGAGTCTATAGTCCAAGGTTACTCCAAGGTATTTGACATCCTTGGACCATTCAACTTTGTGGCTCATCATTTATATTTTATCCATTACTGTCAGTGTAGTGTTTTTTTGTACAGCGAAGGTAATGCCTTTATGCTTCCCAGACTGGTGTTTTGTCTAGATATGTTGGACTCAATACCGCTCGGATATAATACCGACTAAAACCGCCGCTTTGCCCTTGCCCTTGGTTTCCACGGAAACGGCGTTAGGCATTACTTCGTAAGAGAAGGATCTAGAATGTTATAATTTTTACCTTGTATTTATATTCAACTCTTAAATGGGCGAAGTCTCTTTTGCATTAGCACATCTCTCGCAAATTTGTCTATGGCGTTCCAAGCAGCTTCAGTCGTTGGTATCACTTCAACAACAGTATCTGGAGTAATTCTTTGGCTCAATAACTCTTCCACATCGACCCGTAGAGCACCAAATCGCGGGCACATGAAAAACACATGCTCAGCATCTTTGATTTTGCCCAAACAATACGGGCAATCCGCCGAGCTATTGTGCTAGAACAGGTTCATTGTGACATCCCACAGTTGCTGCCATCGGTTAACTTTTCAGGACTTAGTTGTTGATGTCTTTGATGATAAATTGTCTGTCTTCTCTATGCAATGGCTAAAAGAGAAAGAGTTCTTGAAATGACTCACACTGCTTCTTCCGATATTGTGCGAAATGCGCAAGCAATTCTTAAAGCACTCAGGCGATATATAAGTCCTGCCATTCTCCTCGATTTTTGAGCTTTGAGAGCATCAGCCCATATGGAGATACGAAATGTAAGCGCCGAAGTAACTACTGATGATAGTAATATCTTTCTGGTTTGTTTAGGGCCTTCAACATTAGGCATCAGTCGAGCAAGTCTCGTCCTAACTATTGACGCCTTGGCACTAACGTGTTCCACCTGTTGTTTAAAATTCAATCAAGTATCAAGCATTACGCCAAGGTAACAGATGTGAGGTCTTGACGTGATCTCTAGATTTCCTATCTTCAGATTGATGGTTTCTATTGTTTTTCTACTCGTGATAAGAACAGCTTCTCTTTTTTGTTGTGCTAATTAGATGTTCGTTGTTACCTCATCAATTTGTTTGGAGACAACTACTATGGCTACATCGCCTGCATATGCTACTAGTTTTACACATTCTGGAAAGTCTCAAAAGGCCATCATACATAATATTCCACAGCAAGGGCCTAGGACAGAACACTGCGGCACAACTCCTGTTGTAGTATATTCTTGTGTACCATCGCGTGAATCGTACATTAGAATTCTGTCTGTAAAGTAGCTTGCGTCTGAATACTTGTAAGAAGTGTCAGTGTAGGGTACTTACAGCATTCTGTAAACAAAATAGCCTTAGTTTTCTGTTGGTTTATTTTGATTTGCCACATATTCGTATAGTCTGTCAATGTATCTATGCGTCAGCAAACGTCATTAGTGTTGTGTTTGCATCAGCCGGATCATCGTGGATGTAGACGTTTAACAGTGCGTTCCCAGGATTAAACCTTGCGGTACTCCTGCCGTCACTTGTTTAACCGTCGAGTGCGTGTTGTCTATTTTTACAATGATATTGTGGTCTGTGAGGTATGAATGAAATACTTGTGTGACAATGGTTATCAGTTCATAAAGTTTGGATGACTTAGCTCAGTAACAATGATTATTTGCTATTATGTTTCCTCAATGTCATTCTGAATCGTTTGTCACTTAAATTGGAAAAAATATATGTTGTAGCTACTTATTAACTAAAATCTATTCAAGAAAACGCTGATTAGTAAAAATTAGCAGGGCAGTTTCTTCGTAATTCATTGTTATTCTTGAATTTAAACACGTCAATGTTTGATAAAACTTTTTATGTCTATAAAAATCATGGTGTTAATGATCATACTGGATTATTTTGGATTTAGATCACGTGATTTAAGTGTAAGAATGCATTAACGTTAGAAACAATATACCAAAATTCTAGGATATTAACCGTGTATTGTGTAACTAAATGTCTAAATGTCTAAATATGTCTTAACCGCATATTTGTACATTATAAATATAATGTACACAAAGTAAGTGTGTGACAAATACAATTTGAGATTTTATCGAAGCTATCTCAGAAAGAGCTGCATCAATTTCAAAATCTTAAAAGCAATTTGATGAGTAAGGACTTGGGTTAATTAGTGATATAAAATCGGCCTAGCTATTTTTTTAGAATTGGTAGAAAAGCTTCGGGAGGATTGATGTTGTTTGGTTTTGTTAAAGGTCTGCCGGGGGGTTTCATCGTAACTAATTGTTAATTTTGTTTGACATTTATAAAAAGAACATGGAATAAATATTTATATTTAAATGATTGAATGAAAACTTGAATAATATTAAAATAAATATGCGAATAACAGTTTTTTCGTAGAATTCACCATTCATTCTCATGGTTTAGCGACTTTTCAATACAAACCAATTAAGAACTGTTACAGCCATAAACTCAGTCATATTCAGAATTAACAATGTTGTTATTATTTTAGATATGAATGTTCAGGACCACGTGGGAAACACTCCTCTTCATCTCGCTGTCGAAAATGATGCTTTACAAGCTGCAGATTATTTGCTGTCAATGTAAGTTAACCATTTTGTTAAAATATAATATAAATAATATAATGTAATTAGTCAGTAAAAAATAAAAATTTTAGTATAAGAATGTCTTAACCTGATATATTAAATATTCATTTAGATCACAATTAAATATGTTATAGTTTTATTTGGTCAGCAATAAACGTTGATGCGAACATAATTAGCTTCCATATACAACAGATGCTGGTAATTTAATGATTATTCCATATAAGCAGAAAGACATTTTCTAAAATTTTATTTCTGGTTTCAATGACAATCAGGCAATGAAATCTTTTACCTAGTAAATTTATATATTGTGTGTTTTGATTCCAACTCAATTTCACCCTTTCAAACCCAAGATTTGTTGTATCGTATCCTTTCCAAAGATAATGAATTAAGAAAGTCTTACTAGTTTACCTGTTGTGTCTAAGAATAAAACACCTTGGTTAGAAATTTAGCATCAACGCTCAGCATTTTTTGATTATAAATATTTTTTATTCAGCACTAATGGTTCATTATTTGCAATAATTGTAGTTAAAGCAACGTTACTATAGATATCCTGTCTTCCGTTGAAAATCAGTATTAAGTTAATCTGCAGGTACGATTACGTTTTTATAAGACAATTTTAATTTTTAATTTTAACAAATAAACTTTTGATTGGTACTAATGTTTTATTATTTCATACATCTCTGGCGTGAAATTTAAATTTTGGCATTGAATTTAAATTGAAAATTTGAAAATAATGTTTAATTTTTAACTTCCCGTAGGGTAAGTTATAGTAATCGCAAAAAAATCGAAAATGAAAATTTTTATATATCTTTACGTTTCAGAGGTTTCTGAACATTTTGGCATACCTTAGAAAAAATGGATGTATGTGTGTGTGTGTGTGTGTGTGTGTATGTGTGTGTGTATGTATGTATGTGTGTGTATGTATGTGCGGATACAAATTTTCGTCGACGATTTCGGGAACACGGATCAACCGATTTGAATAATTCAAAAAACATTCGATCCGTATTGATAAGGAGACGTGCTGATTAGTTTTTGGCAAAGGCAGGTCAAGCCGTTCCGAAGATACGGGGCAAAAAGTTCCGAAAACGGTAACTCAGTTTTTAAGAGAACGGAGCGTCCGATTTTAATAATTCAAAAAACATTTTATTTTTATTCACAAGATGAAGAATCGATACAACTTTCATGAAGGTAGGTCCAGCGGTTTCGGAGATATAGAGGAAAAAGTAAAAAAATGAGCCATTTGGCGGTCAAAAATGATCATTAGACATATGCACATCAAATTATCAGACATTTTATAGAGATTTTAACAATAAGTATACATTTTGTTAACATTCCTATCGGTTCCGTACCAATGCTTATGCGTTAGACAGCGACGCGGCGCTTACGCGCTTTATATTTTGTCCCTAGGTAGTTAAAGCAGTACGATTGCTTTGAAAAAAAAGTTCAGATCTTCCACAATATGTCAAAATAAAGAAAAAAAAATTTTTTTTCAAAAAAAAAAAAAATTTTTTAAAAAAAAAATTTTTTTTTTAATTTTTTTTTTTCAAAAAAAACTAATTTTTTATCCAATTTATAGTTTCTCAAAAATCTTATTTTTTAAAACTAATTTTTTTTCAAAAATGTTAATAGTTTTAAAAAAAATAATAATTTTTGGTACGGGAAGTTCCAGCAATTTGCCTTAAGGCACGATGCCCTAATTGCCTTAAGACAGAATTCCACTTACAGCTAGTTAATAAATAAATTGAACAAAATGTGGAAATGTTTTTTGTATATCTCGAAATTGTAATACAGTGTTTTGATTGACTACAAAATTTTGACAGTAGACGTTCAGTATTTTTGATTAGAAATTCAACAAATGAACAAAATAACAATAAGTCCCAGTTTTCATTCATTTCATTATTTGCGAAATTGCATTTGTAGTAAGGAGAAAGCTCTTACAATTTGATCGTGATGCTATTGAATGTGATATACATTACCTTTTCCATTCTTCCTAGTCCTTTGCTTTGGCTTTAAATTCACTCTTCTCTCTCAATTTGCATTCATCTTTTTTTCAATCATTTCAGTTCTTTCTTTTTACCATTTGCAGACTGGGCCCGATTTAATTTCCTTTTTTTTTCAGGATCATGCCAAGTATAGTTTTTTCTTCGCCCACTTTTTTCAGGACTTCTTTATTTGTTATCTTATCTCTTTACTTTATTTTCTCTATTCGTCTTCAGCACCACATTTCAAAACTCTCAAGATGGTCCTTGTCGGCCTATCTCAGGGTCCAAGTTTCTGATCCGCACAGTTTTATGCTCTAGAGTCTAGATATACCGCTTTAATAATCTCTTTTGCAAGTCAAGATTCAGTTTGCACGTCAGTAATTTTCTATTTTGGCGCTTTCTATTCCTCCCCTGAGTCTTTGGTTAGAATGCTTCCCAAGTACTTGAAGTGATCCACAATGTATCCACTGAACTGTAATAACAATTCGAATCATTATTTTGTTTAATAATCACCAAACGCGTTGCTAGTTATATCTAGGTTACGCGGTCATCGGAAGTGCTTACTGTTGAATTTTGTAAATAGGTTGTAAACAATAAATTAGTATATAGGAGTTAAACAAAAGTTGGACAGGCAGTCAAGCTTGGAGTCAAACTTGGAGTAAGACTCGGAGACAGGCATAGAGTCAGTCAGACATAGTATTCAGTAAAATTGTAGTCTTTGCTGATATGATAAGCAAAAGGTTATTAATAAATATTGATTGTAAAAATAGTAAATAATGAAAGTATCATTCAAAGAAAGAAGTGTGTTTACATAAGACTATCGAATCGCTGTTTGTCCTAAAGGCCTTTCACACTACCAGTGGACTCTGGACAGTCCACATCACGAATATAATATTTCAACAACTAATTAACTGTTCACCGCTCGGGTCCAACCTGTCAATTCCTGGTCGTACTGGTGATCCGGAACATACATCCAAAGACATTACCAACTAGCCAGGACAGTTTACCACATCTTCTAAATTTCGATTTCCTGCCAAGATCCTCTGTGTCTCGTTTCGTTTAAAAATTTTCATCTTTTTCGATGTGTCTATTTGTCGATATACATCATATATTGTTATGTGCCGATACCCTTATATATGTGCTGACACTTTTGTTTCTATGTGCCAACTATATTTTCTATCTATTTCTATGGAGCTCATGTGCAAGTTGCCTCTATGGATTCTATGGGCACTCTATATTTCCGACCGGACATAGACCCTTTAGATATAGCACTTGCACACATTCTCTTTTTGGATGCCAAATCGACATTACCTAATCACTGTAAAATGACATTCTAATAATTTCACAGCTCAATAATAAATGTATTTAAAATTGTTTTTGTTATTAATATATTTTTCAACATCACAACAAAACACACAAATGAACCTCAATAATATTTATTAAGTTATTGAGAATATGTACTAACTGATCTAAGTTTGGGTCGTATTTTTTCGGAAAATAAATATATAAATATACTTGTCATAAATTGGGAGAATGAAATTGGGAATAACTATGGAATTTTGTCTTTTTTTTAGTTTTGACACGCTATTTAAAAACCACGTATTTGTTTCGTTTAGAGAGGTAAAGTCGTTTCTTTTTTTAAGGACCTTGTCTCCGTGTAATTGGATAAGCAACCCTTCAATAAACCTCCTTTTGAATAAGTTTTCCTCAAAGCGTAGGATTTTAGGGATTTATTTCATTTTAAAAAAATCTATGTTATGGTTTAAAATATTTATAAGGACAGTAATAATAGTTTCTAAACGTTGACTGTTTTTGATTTGTTTTTATGTTGAAGTACGTTTTTATGTTGCTCAGATTTTGGCTTGTTTCGCCTGTGTAAACAACTATACAATTTGTACATTTTGTTTGATGAACTAAGTTTCTGTGAGGGTCTAAATTAAATTTTAATTTGACTTTAAATAATTTTCTCCACAAAAAATATAATTTTATTATAATTGGTAGCCAAATAACGCCGGTGTATGGTTCCAAGTATTAATGGTTATTAAATTCGGTTGGGTTGTTTTGTTTGTCAAAAAGGTACTTGCGTCTGTTATTTATGATTGAGTTTATAATATTCGTCGCATATGAGTTATTCCTTAATGTGTTGCAAACCAGGTCTATGTTAGAGTCCCAGAATTTTTAACTTCTTTAGGCGCGACGAACAGTTGGATGTCAAACTTGTCGAAAGGTATTAAATTCGGGTAATATTCCCACTTTGTGTAAATTTAACGGGTTTGTATTTTCACCTATACCAAATAATCTACCTAAACTAGATACTGTATCTGAAAGTTTAATTTCACCTAGGTTGTGTTTCATGCAAATTAGACGATTGCGACATGCAAATGGACAATTTAGAATGTTTGGCCAAATTATAAATGTGCCTGTTGACATTAATAATATAGTTAATTTATTACCTCGTAATATTGATGAGGATCATTGCATTAACGTTCACATAAAAAAGCAAATGATTCATAGATCAAGCTATGTGCAAGGCTGGATAAATAAAACAAATATAAAAGTATGGCTTCAATTTGTTAGGCAAGACGGGTATTACAGCTGTTCAAAGAATGAGATTATATCGTCAGCAAAAAAGTAAAAAAATACAAACAGTAAATGAATGTATGTTAATTTTAATTACATGAAGTTCTTCAAATACAATTATTACATGATGACTGAAGTTACGAAAACAATATTTGTTTAGGCGTAGTTTAACATTATCCACTGTGTGAACGAATATTATTGAACTCTTTAATCAGCAATTACTTTAAACCGATCATGTCATATTTTAAGTATGACCTTGATTACATTATTGTTTGTAAATACGAGGTGTGTTCAAAAAGTACCCGGAATTACTAATAATTAAATTTCGCGGGTCTGGAGTGTCTGATTGTCAAAATTTTTTTTTTATTGTGTTGGTATACATGCCCCTAAAGTATGATAAAATTTTCAGCTATATTCACTGTTTACTTTGTCTGT